GTTTTCTCTAAATCAGATCGCGGTGGTTTGATTCCCCACCTCTCCTCCGGACATCATGACGTCTTCTATGCTCCGTCGACAGCTGAAGAACCTGGTCCAGAACTACTCTGAGGCCGAGGTCAAGGTAGGAGAAGCTAGATTTAAATTGTGTATGACCTCAAAACCATAATGTTTTCAGCCTTTCAATTCAATTTTTCATTACCTCATCCAGTAATGCAAATAATATTTTAAAAATTATCTAGGTTAAATTTAGGAAGACAATAAAGGTAAATATTTATTATGTAGTCTGTGCATCATTGTATGCACAACAAATAATACATTTCTGGCATATGTTTGAACACTAGTAGCTTTAAATTCAAGTCGTCTGGTGTGGTAACAATTGCTTATACTTTAAGAGGTTAGAGTGACTAAAGGGTTAATCAAGTAAAAACCCTACTAATTAAAACAAAGCAGAAACCATAAATTTTAAGCCCTGAACCTGAATTTCTTAGAGTCAAAGAAAATATAGAGATGAATTCCTTTTTTGGATGCTGATCTCAAACATGATCAATAATGTCCTTGAGAACTGATTACTAAACATCTTTGGTAGCATGGCTCATGTAATGAGATGCCCTGCTGCTGCCAGTCCTCCAAAACCCTGATGTTAACATTTTATAAGTTAGCATCTCAAACTTTCAACTTTCCTGAAGTTGTTTTGGCCTCTTTCTACTCTCTTTACTTCTGTTGCAGGTGAGAGAGGCGACATCCAATGACCCATGGGGCCCATCCAGCTCTCAGATGGCCGACATTTCCGACCTAACGTACAACGTTGTGGCCTGTAATGAGATCATGACAATGCTCTGGAAACGGCTGAAAGATGACAAGAACTGGAGACATATCCACAAGGTGAGCGACGGTGAAGGAGTAACACTGGAACAAAGAAGGGTTTGCTTTAGAGGATAGATGCTGGTTTCAGACATATATTGGATTCTTCGGGGATGAGATGTTAAGTGTGGAATTGTCCATTTATTCACAAAAAAGATGGGAAACATTCATCTTCAGATATAGTCAGTTTCTGTCTTCTGTTACTCATCTCTACAATGCGGTGCCCATCTGAAGTGAGGGTTATTTTTTATTTGTGTATTTTTTTTTTTTTTGCAGCTACAGTTTCCAGATGTCCCTTTAATGCACAACATGCAAAATCATGTTATGTTGATACAGCTACACGATACAGTCACTGAATATGTCTGTGTGATTGTGCCTGTTCAAAACATGGCTGTACAGATTGTGTGTTGCAGCTTGCTCCAAACTACATGAGTGACTGACTGAAGTCATCTGTCACAGGAAACAATAAATCAATAAAATTAACACAAAAGAACTAGTTTGAGTTTTAATCCATCACAGTGTTGATTGTTTGAATTAGAGTGAGGGCAGCATGTAAAACCTCATATACCACAGCTTTTGTTTTATTTTTGTGATTAACAATAAAAGGATTGTTGCATTGGTTAAACTCCTCAACTATTCCCCAAGCCTCTTACCCTTAAGTTTCATAACACTGTTTCTACTTGTTTCCTGTGCAGCCATTATCAAATGAAAAGCAAAAATAATCTAATAAAACAGACTGTGTAAGTTGAATTCAGTAGAACAGCATAACAGTAAGCTAGCACATAGGGAACCCTCTATCAGCTTGGTGTGAGGGTTGGTGTGACACACCAACCCTCACACCAAGCGGATGCGGAGAATAGGGTGAGATGGAGGCAGTTGATCTACTGTCACGAACCCCTGATGGGACCGACAGAGAAGAAGGAAGGCATTCTTCATCTAAGTAGCATGTACAGTATCTATATAGGAATATGCAAGGTTTTAAAACTAAACATTTAACTTTGTAAAGTTTTTTAATATTTAGTGTTTAAAAAAAACAAAAAACCTTACAGCAAAAATATATTTAGTTTCTCTTTAAAAGCACAGTTTAGTCTATTAAGTGGCAGTTATTACTTTCTGAACATCAGCCATATCACTGCTTCCATTTCAGCTTTGCCAGTCAGCCACATGACTCAGTGTTGGCTCATCAGTTCCAGAGAAATTATGTCTTTTCAGTTGTTTTTCTTATCTTTCATCCATTGCACCAATATTTTTTGTTCCTTTTTACTTGTCCTATTTATTCCCTAATGCAGATAAAACAAGAAGCATTGTAGTGATAGGAAACTGCATTTTTATTGTATATAAATGAGTTTGTGTTGTCATGTGTTTTTTATCCTAGTCCCTGACACTCCTGGAGTACCTGCTGAAGACCGGTGATGATCGCGTGCTTCTGAAGATGAAAGACAACATCTACATTGTCAAAGCTCTCACAGAGTACCGCTTTGTAGAAAAGGATGGCAAAGATCAGGTGATGCACACTTCCTGATTATGTCAAATGGATGTACTCTTTTAACTTCCATTAAAGGATTTCATGCTATGCATTAAGACAGTTACTGGTACTATAATATTTATGTCATTAACCTTCAGACCAGGTTTACAGCAAGAATGAAAGTGTAGTCTAGGTTTGCTGCCTCAATCAGCTTAAGATACTCCTAACTGAAAACCTTTTCAGAGTAACAAACACATTTAATTTCTCTACAGCATGAATAAAAAATTATTATTTTTTTTGTTTTTTTTAATCATGTGCTATAGTTTGTTTTAAATTAGATCTTGAATAGTTCTGATCTTGTTTAGCAAAAAGCATTGGGGTTTTCTTCAAGCACAAGTATTTCAGGCTTAAATAATTTTTCTGAAATGGTCAGAGCCAAGTGAACGCTTATTGTAGCCATATTTGTGCTAGGGTGTAAATGTGAGAGACAAGGCCAAGGTTGTTCTTGTTCTTATGGAGGACGATGAGAAACTAAAGGAAGAGAGAGAGTTTGCTGTCAAAACCAGAGAAAAGACATCAAAAAGTGCAGCTGGTAAGCCTTTTTTTATATCACTGCTAAATACTGTTGTTCCAACAGGTTTTCTTCACTGATCATTTATATTCTTTTGCTTACTTTCTAACCAGCATCATCTACGGACAACGTCAAGGATCCAAACTATAAGCCCTGTTATGTACCTGGGGCCTCAGGGCTTCCATCTTTGGACAACATACCCTCTGTAGCTGACTTGACGGCTTCCTTCGCCGCCCGCAAAGAAGAGCGGCTTAAACAGGAAGCTGAGAAGAAAGAAACAGAGAGACGGGTAAGTACAGTGCACAGGTGTAGAAAGATCGAACATTACGCCAATATGATGCTGCCAAGAGGCTCTATTTCAGATAAAAAGCCATTGCCGATAAATGGTAGGCTAACGAGGAAACTCTCCAAACATTTAGCCAATGTGTTTACATTTGAAGGCCTTCTGTTTTATTAAAGTAAACAAAAAAATCTCAATAGGCAGAAGTTATATATTGAGAAGCCCATTGCAGATTCCTATGATGTGTTGCAGTTTGATCTCCATTGGTTTTTAGGGCTGCCTCAGTCCAAGAACCTGCAGTCTATCCAGCAACTGTAGTAGTAGTAGTAGTAGTAGTAGTAAGAGTCTAACCTAGCTATATATTTTTAATTACTGTATGTGCTGATTAAGAACAACTATCGTCTGTATTGTGCCATTAAATGGAGGTTAGCCACAGCATATAGCATTTTGGTATATGAAATTATTATGGCATATGAATTATTTGTATTAACCATTTTGCAATGATATGCTAGGCCAAGATGAGTGAAGAGGAGCTAAAATGGGAGGATGCTAATAAAGGTTCTGATGTTAAAACTGATGCTTGGGGAGGAGAGAAAGAAGAGGAAGTAAAAACGGACCCATGGGGAGCCCCCAAAGAACCTAAAGAGGCCGTAGATCCATGGGGCACCCCCTCAAGACCTGACACAACTGAAACAGCAGCTAGCAGTGGTCCCTGGGGGGCTCCAACAAGTCCTGATAAAGATCTATTTGCAGCAGATCAAACTAATGATGATCCTTTTGTGGCATCAAAAAATGGGGAAGATCCCTTTGCGGCTCCGAAAAATGGGGAAGATCCTTTTGTGGCACCGAAAAATGGGGAAGATCCCTTTGCGGCACCGAAAAATGGGGAAGATCCCTTTG